ATACCTCTCAGTATGTTATCCATTACTCGCTGGAAAGTCGCTGGCGCGTTTTTTAGTCCAAATGGCATTCTTGTAAACTCGTAGTGTCCATTTTCTGTATTAAATGCAGTTTTTTGAATATCATCTTCTGCCGTTTCTATTTGGTGAAAACCTGAAGCTAAGTCTAATGTTGAAAAATATTGGCATCGCCCTAATTTATCTAACAAATCTGTTATGTTTGGAAGAGGATAACGATCGCCCAATGTTTTTTTATTCAATTTTCTATAATCAATGACTATTCTCCATTTTTGCTTTCCCGATGCGTCTAATTTTTTTGGAACAATCCATATAGGTGAGCACCACGCTGAATGGCTCTCTCTAATAATTTTTTGATCAAGCATTGATTGTATTTGTCTTTGTACCTCTTTTCGGTGGATTTCAGGATATCTGTATGATTTAGTGTAAATGGGTATTTCATCGCTTGTACGTATATGATGCTTAATTTTGCTCGTAAAAGTTAAGTAATTACCATCTATGTGAAATATGTCTGAATACTCTCTTACTAACTTGGTGATTGCGTCTTTTTCTTCAGAGTTCATATGCTCTGTCCTAATTTTGGAAATATCAAATTTATATTTTTGAAAGTTCAAAGAATTAATATTCGGTGGATCAGAATTTTCTGAAACTTCGTAATTTTCAAAATTTTCTACATCTATTGGTCGAGATATGTCAAGAGAAATCTGTTCTTCAGATAAATTTAATACTGTGCAAATTGCTTCGTGATTTTTCACTGTAGTAAGACATTCAGGGATTTCTAAACATGATAATTTTCTGTATGGAATAATAGCATTACCATTTTTTTATTTTTTTATGTTAACTTTAATTATCTGTTCTGTTCTAGGTGGAACAGTGATAACATTAGAAGAATTTTTTGTAATCTCGTGATATTGCATGAGTATCCTTGTTGTGGGTGTGACTAAAAGATCATTGCTCAAATCAATGTTGGCATTCAATATCTCTTTCAGGTTATCGAGTCCTAAAAGGCATTGGAAATGTTCGTGAAACTTGAATAAATGAAATTTCATGAGAATATTTGGATTCTTAAAAATCTTTGGACAAGGTATTGTCATACTATATTGTTCGATAGATGAACCATGTGCTGAAGTGATTTGAAATGGGTCTTTGTGAATATGTCTTGAAAATAATTTTTTCGCAATTTCAGGGTGTATGAAAGATTTTGTACTTCCAGTGTCAATCAATACTTTGAGATTATACTCCGGAAATACAATGTATGGTAGTTTGCTACATTTGTCGGTTAAACTCATAATTTCAATTGACTTGGGTGGTCCGTTGAGACTTGTGGTTGTATCTGTACCGAGGCTTCTTGCCATAAAAAATCGTCAGAATTATTCTGAGAATAAGCGCATTCGTAATTGTCATCATTTGGAAATTCTACAACAGGTTGGTCTTGTACACACAAGTTAAACATAGCCTGTTCTGCGTTTACACCAGGTCTGTTAAAATTTCTACCTTGAAAATTTGGTTGCTGATACGTCTGTCTAGTGGATGTACTCATCGGAGTAGGCCTTGGCAGATTATTGATCTGATTAGGTCTAAAAACGTTATTATTGTGAAAATTCGTTCTATTCTGATTAGGATTATTTGGTCGTACATTATTAGGACTAAATTGTCTTTGTAATACTGGACGCTGTACCGCTTGGTATTGATTCCTATAATTACCAAAGTTGTTGTTCATATGGCGAACTAATTGCATATTATTTCGATTAACATTTTTATGTTTATCTACCTTATGATCAAGCTGAAAGTCGTTAGTTAATATATTCAGAGCTTCATTCAAGTCTGTAGGATTTTTCGTCCTCATGAGCGATCCTAGAGGTTCCTTTAAACCTTTTAGAAATACTCTTAATGCTACGCTTTTGCAAAAATTACATATTATCTGAGCTTCTTCACTCACACAATGTGTAGTTAAAAATGATATTTGTAAATTCAATAAACTCTGAACTTTGTTATAAAATTCAAAGGGGGTTTCATTGTTCTGTTTCAATTCACACAATTCTATATTTAGAGTAAATACGTCACGCTTGTCTTGATATGTATTTAAAAGTGCAGTTTTCAAGTCTGTCCAATTTTTTATAATATTGCTACTAATATTTAAAGCTGCATTACCTTTGATTTTCGCTAAAATACTACTCATAAGATATTCGTTCTGGAAGTCAATTTCATCCTCTAATCTATAAAATTTATTCACTAACTTTTCACAAATATCTATGAATCTTGGTAATAATTCTTGTTGACCATAAAATTCGGGTATCATGTTAAGATACTCTGGGCGTAATGACATGCTTGATTGATTTACTTGACTGTTGTTCATATTGACTGTACTATTTAGTATACTAGGTCTTAATTGCAATTTCCTTAAACTATGTTGGATATGTTCCGTATCCGACTGTGAGTCCGAATCAGTGTCACTCAATATATCATCAAACAGCTTTTGATTGTTTTCACCCCTGTAAGACATTCGTACTTACAGTAGTAATCCAATCCGTCCCATGTGTCCGTATGCCTGGGCCACTGCTGGGTTGCCTGTCCTGGAGCAGATGTTCCTTCTGTCCTCTGGGCTGCTGTCGTCTTGGTTTCTCGATTTGGGTAGGGTTCTATCCCAAATCTGGTTCCGGTGATCACGGTAACGATATCGATATTCCGTCGGATCGTTCGCGACCAATCGCGGTTGGTTTCGTTATAGCCAGTAAACCGTTGAAACGAGCCGAAAATGTCCTTTTTTCGTCTGGCTATCCTACTGCTTTGACTGCGCCACTCAAATATCTTTCTTCAACGAAAACGTTTTTAAAAAGATTTATTTTGAGAAAGACCAAATACAATGATGTTAATTGAATGAGTTCTGAATCGAGACTGACTGCAAAGTTCATTATACAAACCAAAGTAAAGAACAAATGAAATACAATACTGTAACTGATAAGAAAGGAACGTGGAGGCAAAAGTCCTTGTTCAGCATATTCTTCCCTGTAGACTGGTACATAACTTGCATTAACTTTTCTAAAATTTATCAAATATTTTTTTTAATATTTCTAGACAAGTCTTAATGACATAACGTCACCACCGTACGAAGAAGGATTTGACTTCATAAATTACTATGAGACCAATGTTTTCGAGGATAATCAGAATCGACTGTCCAAAAACCAAAATCCCAGGAAAAACCGACGAGTGCAATTTAAAGATCAGCCGGATGTACGAATTATATCTACCTATCACCAACCTACATCTAACCTTACTATAAACTAGATGTGCAATGTAACTTACCTGCTGTGGATTTTCTTGGAGTAAAAACTGTATTTGGGAAAACAAGTTTATGCATTTTGGTGTTGTATATCCCACCTTCGGAACCTCTTTCTACATATGAAACTGTTTTTGAATTAATCTGTGCAATTCATTCCTTGCATGATGCCAATATGTTGATTCTCGGTGATTTTAATATTTCTAGTTATGCGTCATATGTGCTAAGTGGTGAGGAATCTACTGTGGTTAGTAGTTTGCTTAACTTTTGCATCTTTTATTCTCTTGAGCAATATCATTACGTTTTCCATTCTAACATGAGACTTTTAGATATTGTTTTATGCAATTTCATGTGTAGTGTTGATAAATGCAGCGATCCCATACTGATGGAGGATCAGCATCACCCGGCGGTAGTTCTCTCCATTAATGAATTGCTTCCCAAGCAAGAAATTCAATTTGACAGAATGGTGCATAATTTTTTCAACTTCGGAAAATCTAATATCTCTTTATTGTATGATCAACTATTCTGCACCAATTGGAACTTTCTCGATAGCATTCATGATGTTGAGGAAGCATGTAAACAATTTTATGCTGCATTGAATGTAATTTTTTCTTTGTGTCTCAAAGTACTCCACCACCAGATGTCGTAGACAATTCCCGCCTTGGTTTAATGGTACCATAATAAAGGATATCAGAACTAAGGAGATATTGTTTAGGAGGTTAAAGTTAAATTCTGATGAAATGACCTTGCATGATTACAAAGCTTTGAGACTCAAAATTAAAAAGGATATCGATATTGCTTATAAAGACTATGTAAAAAAAGCTGAAGATGATATAAAGCGAGACCCGTCAAAGTTCTGGTCATTTGTCAACAGCAGAAGAGGTGATGGCTCTATACCTAAGAATATGAGTTATAACGGTTTGGATATAAGTGAGCCTCAAGATATTCTAAACAGCTTTGCTGACCTTTTCAGTAAATCTTTTATTGCTAGCTCAAGTGGCAAAACCAACTCCACTCAGTTAACTGGAAGTAGTCCTTTAACAGTGACTGAATTTAATGTGAATGAGGTTTATGATGCCTTGAGAAGACTAAAGCCTAAATTAACTTCTGGTCCAGATGGCATTCCGGCTTTTATATTGAAAGACTGTGCATCTGTATTTGCGAAGCCTTTAGCAACGATATTCAACTTATCGCTGCAAAATGGTAAATATCCATCATCGTGGAAAGTGTTAACAGTTTGTCCTGTTTTTAACCCGCCTGTAGTCGCGCCCTGGTGTTGTAATATTTTGGTCGCGCTGGGTCGCTCAGACCCAAGCGAGATTTCAGTTCTCTTCGGTACAAAAAATCGTGTCATTTGCCTTAATCCATGCAATATATGAGTACTGTTAGACATATTTCACCTCCTACTACCAAAATTCAAACGTTATAGAAGATGGAATGTTTTTATTTACACCTTTCATATATACATGACAAAGTCAAACTAACGCAAATCAAGAAAATGGCATTCAAATAAAGCTGGAATAGAACAGAAAGATAATGAACAATACGAAATACTGAACTACTGACTAGATAATGATAATTAATTGCTGTCATTTTCAGAATCTATTCTCCCATCGTAAGAGCTTTGACTCTGAGGACACAGAATACATGCGTGATGTAGACAAAGGAATTTGTAGCACATTTTGCAGTAGTAGCTAGTTTTCCTGTCCTAGCCCTTACATTCTTCACATCTTCTTCTTTTTCCTGGCAATGGATGTTCTCTAGTTTCATCAGGTGTGCCTACAGCTTCTCGACGTCGTTTTCTTACTTCTGGCGAAATATTTCTAATAGTAGCTCTGTATTGACGGTGTTCATGTGTCAGTTCATGTGCTAGTTTACGTAGATACTTCCTCCTGACCAAGTCTACATTGGGGTTATTAGCACAGTATATCACATGTAAATTTATGCCGGCTACGTTGAGCATAGAATATAATACAACCATCGGCCAACGTCTGGTGTTTCTTGCACAATTGTAATTTGCTGAGAATTCGTCAACTTTATCGACTCCAGATTTAGTTTTGTTATAAAATGTTATCATTTCAGGCTTTGACTTTTCACCAGTATCCGAATCGATAGCGCCGTCATGATGACAATGACATTTCTACCTTTTTTTGGTACATACGAGACTGCAGTCTTGTCTTTTTGATATCCAAATATACTAGAATATACAGGTAACCTCTTGGTAGCCAAAAATTCTATTGGTATTGCTTTCTTATTTTTTCTCATCGTCCCTACTAGTGTCAGATTGTGATTGTCCAATAGCTCCTGTACAAGTTCATAACTGGTAAACCAGTTGTCAGTAGTGATATTTCTGCCAGTTTTAGATATTGGATTTATCAATCTCAAGACCACGTCTTTTGGTTTGTTGCTCTGCTGATAGGGTAAACTTCTAGGTTCAAGGTATAGAATGTTTTTGCGTCTACTAAGGCAAAAATCTTTACTCCATATTTCGCAGGTTTTGAAGGTATGTATTGCCGGAAATTACAGTTTCCTCGGAATGCTTCAAGTTTCTCATCAATTGTTGTGAATTCTGAAACAGTATAATGCTTCTGGCAGTTCTCCACAAATGAATTGAAGATATCTCGAATCGGTGCTAATTTGTCACATTTTTGGCGTTCGTCTCTAGTGTCTTTATCGTCAGTACGAATGGCACGCATAAGAAAGCGGAATCGCTGAAACGACATAGTTAGCCAAAACATTTCAATTACGATCCCATAAATCTTCTGTGTTTAGTCGACTAGCTTTATATGTACCAGCTAAGTATAAGATTAGAGCTTTTATTTCCGGTAAATTTGTAGGCTTGGCATCTCTGGACCGTTTGTAGTTAGAGGATATATTTTCGATATATTTGTTCGTATTGTCGACGATACTTTCAAGCATAGTATCATCAAAGAACAATGACCAGGATTCAAAAGGCGTTGAAGCGAGTCTTGCTAAACCTTTCACTCCGGGCATATGAAGAACAATGTTCGCTATTTTTGTTCGAACCCTTTGTAAAAATGGATGCTTATTCCAACGTGTAATAGTATCTTTACCAGTGAAACATAAAGTTGCTCCAGGTTCGGGCTCACTATCACTCACGGCTTCTTGTTCGCTGTCTGAATCTTCCCTTTCTTCAACATGATCAGTAACATCTTCATCATGTTCATCATCGGCTTGTTCTTCTTCTTCTAACTCTTCCCAGAGCTTCAGAAGCCTCTTTTGCTCCGCCTCATAGGAATACATGCCTAAAAATAATTGAAAAAATATCGATTATTCCATCATATTGAACAAAGAGTTAGTAAATATAACTAAAATACATACATAATAGCTTGGAAAGTAATGTTACTACACTATAAATTACGTATAAAAGAAAAGTACTTACCGGCGTCAAGGCAAAGAGCTGTTCAGTCGCGCTGGGTCTGGACAAAACTGAGATGAACGTATCTAGTCGCACTGGGTCTGAACGTAAAATTGAGGGATACGTATTTAGTCGCGCTGGGTCTGAGATTCAAAGTATGTAATAACTACGACCGCTAAACGGCTGCATTGACACTGACAGCGGTGATACAATTTACATCATACTATAGGAAGGTAGTGGGAGGGAGACAGCCAACCGTGCTGCCGCGTATACGCAGTGGTCATTTCAAGAACCACTTGGGTCAGTGAGACCCGGCGCGACTACTGGCGGGTTAAAAATAAGGGTAACAAGAGCGATATTGAGAATAATAGACAAGTCACGATAATTAACAACTTTTCAAAGGTTCTTGAGTTTCTTATATATGATGCAGTTTGCTGGCATGTGCATAATACTTTATCATCTCAACAGCATGGCTTCATGAAAAAACGATCAACTGTGACAAACTTATTCTGCACTGCTCAGTTTATATCTGGAAATATAGATTCTCGTACTCAAGTGGACGTCATTTATACTGATTTCTCAAAGGCCTTTGACCGAGTAGATCACGGCATTCTTCTTAACAATTTAGCTGACTTTGGTGTCATTGGCCATCTTCTCCTGCTGGTTAAATCTTATTTGTCAAATAGAGTATCTTTTGTTTCGCACAATGGCTTTAAATCTAACACTTATAAAATTGCATCAAGTGTTCCCCAGGGGTCTGTTCTGGAACCTTTATTTTTCATTATTTTTATAAATGACATTGAACTACAATTGGATGTCACTTTTCTTT